GCATTAAGCACCTCGATGAAAAGGATATAAAAGCAAGACTCTACCATATGCTATTTTCACAGGAGGCATAAATTTAAAAATCTATCATGCCAACAGTAAGCCTGCCAACGCTGGAGGAGCCGTGTTAACATCACATAAAATGGGCTTTCACAGAATACTGTCAGAGATAAACAGAGAGGCCGCCTCATGAAAAATGGTGACTTTATCAAAAAGACAAAAATCGTAAATCGGTATGTACCTCATAACAGCTTCAGAATACATAAAGAAAAAATTGACAAAATTAAGAAGAGAACAGATAATTCAGCAATCGTTGCAGATTTTAACATGGGTCTCGCAGCACTGCATAGAACAGATGAACTAAAAAACTCATGAAGCACACAACTGATCTGAACACTATATAAACTATCTTGAGCTAGTATTTTTCAAACACACCTAACACATTCTTTTCTCATGTATACAGTATGTTTAGCAAGATGAACCAAATGCTGAGCTATAAGACAAGTCTCAATAAATATAAAAGGACTCAAATCATACAGAATATGTTCTCTGATTATACTGGAATTAAATTAAAACCAATAACAACAAGATAGCTATAAAAACCCCAAATATTTGGAAATATCCAACTAATCCCAGGGTGAAAAAAAAATCACAAGGGAAATTTGAAAATATTTTGAGGGGCGCCTGGGTGGCGCAGTCGGTTAAGCATCCGACTTCAGCCAGGTCACGATCTCACGGTCCGTGAGCTCGAGCCCCGCGTCAGGCTCTGGGCTGATGGCTCGGAGCCTGGAGCCTGTTTCCGATTCTGTGTCTCCCTCTCTCTCTGCCCCTCCCCCGTTCATGCTCTGTCTCTCTCTGTCCCAAAAATAAATTAAAAAAAAAAAAAGTTGAAAAAATAATTAGAAGAGAATATATATTTAAAAAAAAAATATTTTGAACTGAATGCTACTGAAAATACCACCTACCAAAGTGTGTGGGTTGCAAACAAAAGCAAAGCACAGAGGGGGTTTTCATTTATAATATCCTTGTATTAGAAATTAACACGTTAGGGACACCTGGGTGACTCAGTTGGTTAAGCTCCCAGTTCGGCTCAGGTCACGATCTCACAGCTCGTGAGTCCGAGTCCTGTGTCGGGCTCTGTGCTGACAGCTCAGAGCCTGGAGCCTGCTTCAGATTCTGTCTCCCTCTCTCTCTGCCTTTCCTCCACTCAGACACTGTCTCTCTCTCTCACTCTCTCTCTCTCTCTCTCTCTCAAATATGGGTAGCTCAGTTGGCTGAGTGGCTGACTTTGCATGAGTTCGAGCCCCTCATCAGGCTCAGATCCTCTGCGTCCTCTCTGCCCCTCCGCTGCTCTCTCTCTCTCTCTCTCTCTCTCTCAAAAAATAAATAAATAAACATAAAAAAAAGGAACGGACACATTAGTTCTAAAATTCATGCAGAAATGCAAAAGGTCAAACATAGCTAAGATAATTGCAAAAAAGAGAAAAGCTGAAAAAAAAGGGGGGGGGCACCTGGGTGGCTCAGTTGGTTAAGCATCCGACTTCAGCTGAGGTCATGATCTCACAGTCTGTGAGTTTGAGCCCCACATCGGGCTCTGTGCGGACAGCTCAGAGCCCGGAGCCTGCTTCAGATTCTGTGTCTCCCTCTCTCTCTTCCCCTTCCCTGCTCATGCTCTGTCTCTCTCTGTCTCAAAAATAAATAAAAACATTAAAAAATCATTATAAAAAAAAAGAGCAAAGCTGGAGGATTACCCCACCACATATTCAGCCACTGTAACTGGAGCATTTAAGACAGTGGGGTATTGGTACAATGGATGAACAGGCCAACTGAACGGAATAGACGGTCCAGGAAAACCCTCGCACGTAGTCAGCCTACTCACAGCAAAATGGACAACCACCCGCAGTGAGGAAACGATGGTTTTTGGTTTCCAATAATTAGCACTTCGTCAGTTGGCTACCCACAAGCAAGAAAAATGAATTTTCTTTTTAAATTTTGATCCAAAAGTTTTGATCCAAACCTCACACCATACAGAAAAATCAAGTCCAGCTGAACTGGAAGAGCTACATGTAAAAGGTAAAATAAAACTTCTGGAATGAAACATGTTTAGGGGTGCCTGAGGGGCTCAGTCGGGTAAGTGTCCAACTTTGGCTCAGGGTTCCTGAGTTCGAGCCCCCAGTTGTGCTCTGTGCTGACAGCTGGGAGCCTGCTTGGGATCCTGTCCCTCTCTCTCCGCCCCTCCCCTGCTCATGTGTGCGCGCGCGTGCTCTCTCTCTCAATAAATATTGTTTTTAATTCTAAAAAGAAGGAAACATATTTATGATCTTGGAGCACGGTTTTGGTTTTTTTTTTAATAAGTGCAAAAAGCACTAAAACCTATAAAGGAAACAAATGATAAATTGGACCACGTTAAGAATTTCTCACGAAAAGGCACCAGCAGAAGAACAGGAAGCGGCCCACCGAATGGGAGAAGATCTGAACAACACGGGAAAACGGACAGAAGACATCACCTCTCACAGAGAGGATGACTGGGGCGTGAGAGGTGCTCAGCCTCATCGGTCACCAGGGAAATGCAAGTTAGGCCCGCTACGGACCTCCCCCACCCCGAGAGACCAAACTCGGAAGGGCTGACGCTACCTAGTTGGCCAGGAGAAGGAGCACCTGCCGATGCGAAGATCCTGGGCAACTTCCACAGAGCTCTGAGCAGCCTCAGCACCCCCAGCAGGCCTCCCGCACACGCGCCCCACAGCAGGGCCCCGTGTGCACCAGCGGAAGGTGCTGCAGGGGCCCAAGCAGCACTGTTCATGGTCACCCCAAGCTGGAAACAACCCAAATTTCCATCAACAGTAAAATGGGTAAATACGCGGCAGTCTGGTCACACAATGGCATGAAACGGGGTGTGTTCGGTTTGAGAGAATGTGTTGATGCGTGTAGTTTTTTTGTAAATGTCACACTTGAGTGAAAGTCAATGAGGGGACGTGTCAGACTCATTTGTGCTCAGCTTTCTAAGCTGAAAAGCCTAAAACAAACCCCTCGTCCCGTAAGACAAGGACGTCAGGGCTCGGAGACGGTGAGTGACTTGCGTAAGGCCACCAGGAAACAGGAGAACACGGACCCGAACCCTAGTGTCCTGCGTCCCCAGCCAGGGCTGTCCCCACCAGCAATCTGCTGCCATCAAAATGCCTTCTTTCCTCCTCTCTGGTCGTGGTTAAACAATAACAACGACAACAACATAAAATTTGCCATCTTCACCATTGTTAACTGTACCGTTCAGTGCTGTTAAGAATTATTTGCACTGTTGGGGCGCCTGGGTGGCTCAGTCGGTTAAGCACCCAGCTTGGGCTCGGGTCACGATCTCACTGCTGGTGAGTTCGAGCCCCGTGTCGGGCTCCGTGCTGCCAGCTCAGAGCCTGGAGCCTGCTTCGTATCCTCTGTCTCCCTCTCTCTCTGCCCCTCCCCTGCTCACCCTCCCTCCCTCCCTCCCTCTCTATCTCTCTCTCAAAAATAAATAAACATTAAAATTAAAAAATGAATTATTTGCATTGTTGTGCAACAGATCTCCAGAACTTTTTCACCTTTTCAAACTGAAACTCTACACCCATTAAACAGCTTCCCGTTTCCCCTCCCCCTGGCCCCCGGCAGCCACCAGTCTGCGTTCTGTCTTCATGATCTTGACTCTGCGTCGCTCATGTGAGTAGAATCATACAGGGTTTGTCTTTTTTGTGACGGGCTTACTTCACTGAGCGTAATGTCCTCAAGTTCATTCATGTTGTAGCAGGTGTCAGAACGTCCTTCCTTTTTAAGGCTGAATCATACTCCAGTGTATGGAGGGACTACATTTTATTTATCCATTCATCTGTCAATGGGTACCTGGGTTACTCCCCTCTCTTGGCCGTTGTAAATAATGCTGCTGTGAACGTGGGTGTGCAGATGTCTCTTCGAGACCCCCAATCTCGGTTCTTTAGGGGACATACCCAGAGGGGTTCTCGTCAACATTCTTAAGTTATCTTATGCTTGTAGGTTTTACCGCTTGCACTGAACTTGAGGTCCTAGAAGTCAGGGATCAACTACCCAGTTAGGCGTTGGTGAATGTTTGATAACTGTCTTCCTAAGTGGGTGGGGGAGCCTTGATTTATAACATTTGCCAGTTTCCTTGCTGTACGGACCAAGAAGGCACTGGAAGTCCCCAGTGTAGCTGGACCCCGTGTTGCTACCCAAGCCCCGTCCCACACAGCCAGGCAACACTACCCCCACCCCCGGAGAGCATAAACCAAAGACACCCAGACTCAACGGCAGGAGCCAAGCAAGGCGGCAGTGGCAGGGGACTGAGCGATGGTCTCTCCATTGAAGGACACCATTAAGGAAGGTTTCTAGGGCTCGGAGGTGCTGGTTAAACTCTACTTCTTGGGTTGGGAGGTGGGCACGTGGGCTCCTGCTTCCTTATTATGAAAGGCACACCATGATGTATACATTCTTGTATATACATGAGACATTAAGCACTTAAGAAGTCAAATAAAAACACACACAGACTCAGGTGCTGTGTGTACCCGCACAGGTAGGCACGCAGGTGCACCCAGCCTCTCTCGGAGTTCTACCCACAGGTTTCAGAGGGACCCAGTTACCTGCATTCTGAAAAGCTCATTCAGATGAGTCGCCCATCCCCTGAGGTTAAGACTCTGTGCTCTAACACAAGAGATGCCCACACTCCCGATCTTTTCCGTCAGGATTCCTGAAGTGGGGGAATGGTTGGGATGAGTCACTTGCCCTTCTCTCGGGAAGCCAAAGAGAGTAGCATGTGTCCAAAGTATGAGGTTGGAAGTCATGGACAAGCCAGTGGATCTCTTCTTTAGGGGAGGAAGGCTTGTCTTCTCACACGTTAAAACCTTTCCCCAAATCCATGCCAATAGGCGTTTTGATATTCCCAGTCTATCAAAGGGGGTTGTTCAACTCGGAAACAGTGCAAAATTAAGGTCCTGCCCTGAGAACCCATATGCTGTTTTTAGAGCTCATACAGAAACTTGGTCAGTGGAACTAGGCAGAGTTCACGCTCTTCCACTCCCAATGTTTTATTTTTGTGAGGGGTTGATTTGTATTGTGATACAATGCACACCACATGAAATCCACCACCGTAACCACGTCAAAGTATAAGACTTAGTGGCATTGAGTACATTGGCACTGTTGTGCAGCTGTCCCCTCTCAGTCCGGAACATTCCATCGTTCCAAAGGAGACTTGGAAACAGTCAGTCCTTACCCCACTGTCTCCCCAGTCTCTGGCAACCATGAGGCCGCTTTCTGTCCCTGTGGATTTTTCTGCAAATGGGATCATACGACGTGTGTCCTCTCGGGCCCGGCCTCTCTCACTCTGCACTGTGTTTTTAAGGCTCGTCCACGCGGCAGTGTCCATGCCTCGCTCCTTGTTGAGACCGAGTGACACTCTGCCGGTGGAGAGACCGCGTTTGCTGGACCCGTCCGTTGGCTGGCGGATGTTGGGTTGTTCGATCTCTGGAACGGTGCCGCTGTGCGCACTCGTTGTCGCCTGTCTTGGGCACCCCCCTCGGAGGGGAGCGCCAGGGTCGTGGGGCGACGCTGGGTCAGGCTCCCGGAGCCCCAGACTTCTCTTTGGTGTCGGGAACCCTTCCCCGGGCAGGTGAGGCCCGCGTGTGCAGACGGTTCTCCACCGGCTGGATACCTGCCCTTCAAGTGGCAGGGCCACAGCGAAGAAAGCTGCCGCGAACATTCCCTGCCGGACAGCGGGGACAGAAACGCACGCTTCTCCCGGGAACGCGGCTAGCTGCGGACGCTGGCACGCAGGCGCGCAGCCCGTGCCCTGGGGGCCTGCGGCAGGGGCCACCAGGGGCCTCCCGGGCGGACGTGGGGGGAGGAGAGAAATGGGTCCAGGGACAGACTTCCACGGGGCAGGGACTCCACACGCAGGCGTCTCCTTCCACGATGTGGGGAGGGGAGCGTGTTCCTCGATTCCTTGGCCGACGCCTCCCGGACGCCACCGTGCGCCAGGCCTGTGCTGGGCTCCGGGGACACGTGCCGGCACGGGAGGGTGACAGGAAATCAGAAAGGCCGTGAGTCAGGGAGTCAGAGCCAGAGTAGCACAAGGACAGTCAGCAGGGTGATACAGAAGTGCTGCTTTGGAAGGGAGCCAGGAGGGCTTCCAGGAGGCAGTGTCGTGGGAGCAGGCCTACTCAGGCATGGCAAGGTGAGGGCCCAGCAAGGGGTTCTCCTGCAAAGGCAGGGCAGCTGGGCACTAGGTATTACCTGTGCTGGGCTGGTCTCCTCACTGTCCCACTGGCTAGTGGTGTAGACACAGGGCCAGGCAGGTAATGGTCACCCAGAATGGCTTTGGTCCCTCCTCTGTCCCCTCCTGCTGCATGGCCTTGGGCTGGCCTGGGGCTCAAGTTTGTCATCTCTGTGCCCTTCACTCTGTGTGCAAGGACCAGGGCGCGGGGAGGAGCCAGCCTGGCCTGATCCACAGAGCGGGAGGGACACGTGAAAAGAGACACAGAGCCTGTGCGGGACAGCTGTGCAAATGTCCTGGGCGGCACGGCCAAGGACGAGGTGCCTCGGGGCACACAGTGCCAGCGGCGTGTGGAGTCAGGGCCCCCCAGGCCGACCGGCAGACTGCAGGGCCCTCAATCCGCCGTCCTGTCAGGAGGGTGAGAACGTCCCAGCAACAAGGACACTGCTAGGCCCAGGCCCGCCGACAGCGGTGGCATGGCATGCGTCCCCGCCCGTGCCACCCAGGGGAGGGGAAGCAATGGGCATCTCTCGGAGCCTGAGCAAAAAGCACGGTTGCCGCAAGGCCTCTCTGGGCTTCCTCACCGACCTGACACCCTGCTGGGGACACTGGCCCGCCTCCCAGCTTCCGCCCCCAAGGCCACCTTCCGGCCAGCCCGTGGCTGTCCGGTGTCGATCCTGGCTCCATCCTGGCACCCAGCAAGGGTCTCACATGTGGAAGGCCCCCAGCGGACGTCGGTGGCACAAATGCATCAGTGGCCAGGGGATTAATCAATCAAGCAGTTAATGAAAGAATCGATGGTGTGGTGACCCGAGGGTCCAGGGCCACCGGTTGTGACAGCCTCGGGAGGGCCCATTCTCACCACCTGGCCATGTCTGGACAGCACAGCCCACCCATCCCTGCGTGTCCCGTCAGCACTGCCTCCCCTCAGACGCACCGACCGCTCTCCCGGATGGGGGCAGGGCGCGGGCAGAAGGCCGTCTCCCCAGTTCTCTTAGGACGGACTTAGCATCGGAGCAAAGTCGGTCTTAAGGAAGCACAGCCCACCTCCCCCTCCTTCCCACCCCGGCAGGACCCCCATCTGCAGCCTGCCTGTGGCAATTTCCTAACGTCTACTTATGGAGTTGACACAAGAGTGTGGGGGCTCTGCCCCTTTCCAGGGCCCTCCACCCCCCATTTCCTCCACTGGCCACCCGGGGGTGCGTGTCCCTGTGCTGGAAGGGGACCCCATGCCCCAGCTCTCCCGGTGTCAGCGAGCCCTGCTTGGCTTCCGTGCACCCCTCCACGGGCCCCCTGCCACTCTTCGTGCATCCTCTGGCAGCTTCCTGGGACAGGTGCGTGGGGCCCCTTGTCACCTGCAGGTGGCCCTAGGCAGCCCTCTTTCAAGATTCACTGCGTAGAGCTTCTGGGATTCCAAACGCAGCTTCTTCAGAACTTCGAAGGCTGTGCTGCTGTCACCTGGGCCCCCGTGTGATGGCTGCCAGATCCAGGGCCAGTCAGATCCGGGGCTCTTCACAGGGGACCTGGCCTGCTCTCTGGAAGATTTAAGAGTCAGTTTGATGTGCCCTCGTTCTAGAAATGTTGCAACACCCTGTCTGGGGTGGGTTTTCATTCCTTTGGCCTAGAGCCTCACGTCCTCCTGTTCTAGGACATTTTCTGGTGGATGACTGCCTTGCTGAATCTCTCCCTTCTGTGTTCTCCTAATTCACTAATTATACGTTAGATTGTGCCTAAACCGGTGGTCTAATTTTATATTTTCTCTTGTATTTTTTCATTTTGCTTTTTTCTAACTTGCGGGAAACTTATCTTCGAGTTTTCACTTTTGCTATTTATGTTTTAATTTAAAAAAGAGCTCTTTTTAAAAATTTATTTATTTTGAGAGAGAGAAAGAGAGCACACACGCACAAGCAGGGAAAGGGCAGAGAGGGAGAGAGAGAATCCCAAGCAGGCTCCATGGTGTCAGCACAGAGCCCGATTCAGGGCTCGATCTCACAAACCCTGAGATCACAACCTGAGCTGAAATCAAAAGCTGGACACTTAACCAACTGAGCCACCCAGATGCCCCCCAAACGAGCTCTTACTTATTCTCTGCCTGTTCCTTTTTCATAACATCTTGTTCTTAGGTCATGGGTGTGGTATTTTCTCTAAGAGATTTTTTTCTTTTTTATATGATCTTTTGCTACTCTTATTGTTTCTGTTTCCTTAGGGCTCCTTTATTTTGGTAGGTATGGAATCTGTCTTTCGTGTTAGATGCTCTTACGTCGAGGGGCTGATGATCCTGGAGGTTTGCCGGTCTTCATGAGAGGCACTAGGTGCTAATACGAGCAGCGTGGCTGGGTGGGGTGAGGGTAGACCACTAAAGTTAAGCAGCAGGGTCCAGACACTCGGCCAGAAATCTCGGGAAGCCAGGCCAATTCTGCAGAATCCCCCCATCTCCTGCACGGGAGGCAAGCCTGGCTGCCAGAACTCTGGGAATTAGCAGAGTCAGGGCCAAGGTCGCCTCTCAAGATGTGCCTGTCAACTCATCTCCCTGTTCCTCCCTGGCCGGTGCGTGTGGTTGTGCCTGGGCCCCCTGAGCCCAGAGCCTCCTGGCCCTGACCCCCGAGAGAGAACCCGGGGCCTCCGGTCTTCTGCCAGCGTCTGCAGCCTGGGTCTGGGGTCATAACTGCTCGTGCTTGTTCTAAACCCCCCTCCACGCCCCACCCTCAGAGCCCCCTGGCGTGCTGGAGCCTCTGTGGCTTTCCCTGGTCCGACTGCCAGGGCCTCCGCGGCACCTGTCTTCCAGATGAGGGAGAGGAGGTGCCACAGCGTCCCTCTGTGGTCCCTGCTGGGTCCTGGGAGGGGATAACGGTACGTGTGCCCGCTAAGCTAGGTTGAACTGGAAGTCACCCCCTTACATTGGGATTTGTCTGAAAGGCACTTTTGGAAGGAGCTCTCACTGTTGCTGTCCCTCATCTCCCACTACCACCATACGTACCTCCAACCACTCAGTAGAAACACTGGCCAGAGGTGGGCCAGTGGGGGGGAAGTCTTCTGGAAACATCAAGAAATGTCACTTGAATGCCTGTCTGCGAGAGAAGGAAGAAAAGCCGTGTCTGACCCAAGAGCTGAAAGCTGAGGGGTTGTGGTGAAGGGGCCAAGAGCACCTGCCAGCTCCCCCCACCCCCACCCCACCCCGCCGCTTCAGGAAGAGTCTGGGCACAGTGTCATAGCACAATTACATGAGTTGCTGACAAATAAAACCAGGTTTCTCATGAAATCCAGATTTCTAGGGGCGCCTGGGTGGCTCAGTCGATGAAGCATCTGACTCTTGATCTCAGCTCAGGTCACGATCTCACGGTTTGTGAGTTCCTGCCCTGCTGGGGGGAGGGATTCTCTCTCCCCCTCTTTCTGACCCCCGACCCTGCTCGCATGCTCCCTCTCTCTCAAAAATAAACAAGCATTTTAAAAAATCTAGATTTCTAACTCCTCTTGAAAACCGGCGGGCCTGGAAGCTCTGGAGGCAGCACTGCTTCGGGCACTTAAAGCCAAGTGTGCTTGACAGGCCACTTAATTTTCCTGAGTTTCTATGTATTTATCTGTCAAATAAAAATTGACTTTAAACTTTTGACAAACCACCTGGGGCGACGGCCGTCCCTCCCCCCAAGAAACATGACGTCCAAACCCCGCCCGCCAGCACACAGCTCTCCCCACCAGTGAGTGTGCGAGCCCTGGGCCTGGAGAGTAGGGCAGCAGTGGGCGGGACCAGGGCCTTGGACTGTCTTCACCCACCTGGCAGCAGTCTGCCCTGCACATCTGGACTAGGTGCTCACACCTGCTGCAGGCACTGGGGACCAAGGCTGCCCTCACAGGGCAGGCATCCTAGGGGGCAGAGCCAAGGGCACCTATAGAGATAGGATGTGGGGGGTAAAGTAGGGAGGGATGCAGGGGATGGGGGGGGGGGCTGCTTGGCCATTTTCACAGGGTGGCTGGTGGCTGCAGATGGCCCGTCTGATTGGATGACATCAGAAAGAGAAGGGAGGGCTGGTCCATAGGAAGCCCAGAGGAAGAGCATCAAGGAAGTGGAAACCGCAAGTGGAAGACCAACCTCCCTGGCATTTCGAGCCCCTCAGGAATGAGGATGTGGGTCACAGCCCCAGGTAGGACCCCAAGACCTGCAGAGGTGACAGCAGAGGTGGGGTGAGGCTGGCCTGGCCGGGAAGGCTGGACAGTGGAGGAGGGAGGGGGTGAGCACCAGCTGAGCCCCGAGACCAGATGTACCAACTAGGCTGGTTTGCCTACCTCCTCTATGAGATCTCCCTCCAGGAAGAGAGGCTGGGGCAGCCCTGGAGGAACGGCCACGTGCAAGGGGACGGCACCTGTGGGCACAAGGAGGGAACTGCGGCCACACAGATCTCTTTTCCTAAAGGGACTTACAGTCCAACTGTGAGAGGCTGAGCACCTGCGGCCCGAGGCTCTGACTCGCCTTTGTTGAGCCCAGCAGAGATGGTGGGAGGCAGTGGCACCAGGGCCTGGCCATTTCTGCCCAGTGTGGGGCTCCTCCCCCAAACTCTCTCTCCTCAGCAGCAGCTCCCGCTGGGTGGGCAGAGACTTGGCCAGGCCTGCAGAGTGGCTGACAGCTCCCAGCCCAGCCTGACTTCCCCGACCTCCCCCATGGGTGTACTCCCAATAATCCATACCATCCCTCGTCTCGGCACCTGCTTGCCGGAGAAGCCAGCCTGGGACCCTCTCGCTTGGACTTTGTGTGATGACAGGCAGGGCCGCCGGGACAGCTCATCGATTCACTCGGCAAACGTGTGGGGTGGATGTGTAACGGCACACTGGAGACCGTGGCTTTCCCAGCCTGGGTGTGCACTCGGGCTCTGCTCGGACGGTGGGCACGCTCCCCACCTGTCCTTGTCCTCGGTCTCCTGTTTGTGAGACCACTCTGGAGCGTTGCTGTGCCTGTCAGGCTGCTTAGCAGGATGCCCGGAACACGCTCAACAATTACAAATCTCAACTGCTATGGTTTCTCCTTCGAGCACCCGCTGCAAAGTATTTACCGTGTGGGCCTTATTTTTCCGAGAAATGAAAACGCGTGGTCTGCGTGCATCAGGATGGGGATGAAAACAACAGGCTTGAAGACCTGGAACTGGAGATCGGGGTCTCTGGGCTGCATGCCGGTGTCCACTGTGCTGCGTGACCAGCCAGGCTAAGAGGCTTCTCCCAGGGGTGGCCAGTCGCCTCCCAATGCCAAGCTTTGAAGAAAGTTCTATCTGCCCTGCTCATCTGAGCACAGAAGTCTGCCCCTCGGGCAAATGCTGGCAGGGAGTGGACACTTGGTGCCGAGGCACTCGCCCAAGCAGGGAAATGAGTCTCATTCCCGGATGGAGCAGCAGCACCACTGACACGCGGACACCCTGTCCCCAGATAACATCGGGCCGGGGCCGGTTGACCTCACATGCTGCTGTGGGAATATAGAGTGGTACGGCCACTTTGGAAAACAGTCTGGCCGTTTCTCACAATGTTAAATATGGAATGATGACGTGACCAGGCAATTCTACTCCTAGGTATCTACCTGGGAGAGATAAAAACATAAGTCCACACAAAAACTTGCACACAAATGTTCACAGCCGTGTTCTTCGTGGTAGCTGAAAATTAGAAACGACCCAAACGGCCATCACCTGAGAAAACACAAGCAACTGTGTACAGTGGAATGTGACTCGGCCATAACAAGAAAGCACCAATCAACACTGCAATGTGGATAAGCCTTGAAAACGTGTATAAAGGATGCCAGGTGAAAGAAGCCGTCACATAAGACCACGTAGTGTAGGGGCACCTGGTTGGCTCAGTCGGTTGAGAGTCCAACTCTTGATTTTGGCTCAGGTTATGATCCTAGGGTTGTGGGATCGAGCCCTGCATTGGGGTCTGTGCTGAACATGGAGCCTGCTTGATATTCTTTCTCCCCTCCCCCGCTCATGCGCACGCGCATGCTCTCTCTCTCTGAAATAAAAGCCAAAAACAAAACAAAAAAAAGGACCACATAGTATAGAATCTCATTGCAGTGACATTTCTAGAACAGGCAAACCCACAGTAGTTGCCTAAGTCTCAGGGAGAGTGGAGCGTAGAGTGATTACTAGTGGCTAGAGGTTTTGGATGAAGTGATCCAGGAATTCACTGGAGGTGGCTTTACGCCTCTGGTGCTATGCTAAACCCCACTAAACTGTATGCTTTGAATTTTCTTAATGTTTATTTTTGAGAGAGAGACAAACAGAGCATGAGTGAGGGAGGGGCAGAGAGGGAGGGAGACACAGAATCCGAAGCAGGCTCCAGGCTCCAAACTGTCAGCACAGAGCCAGACGTGGGGCTCAAATCCACGGACTGTGAGATCACAACCCAGGTTGAAGTTGGATGCTTAACTGACTGAGCCACCCTCGTGTCCCTAAACTGTACGTTAAAAAAATTTTTTTTTATGTTTATTTTTGAGAGAGAGAGAAAGAGAGAACAAGTGGGGGAGGGTAGAGAGAAAGACACAATCCAAAGCAGGTGCCAGGCTCTGAGCTGTCAGCACAGAATCCAACGTGGGACTAGAATTCACAAACTGTGAGATCATGACCTGAGCCTAAGTCAGACTCTTAACCGACTGAGCCACCCAAGCGCCCCTAAACTGTATGCTGTAAATGGGTGAATATTATGATATGTAATATTTCAAAATTTTTATTTTTAGTTTCATTTTTTTTTTGTTGATTTATTTTGAGAGAGAGTGAGCGAGTGAGCACACGTGCATGCACACGCAGGGGAGAGGCAGAGAGAGAGAGAGGGACAGAAGATCCCAAGCACGCTCTGTGCTGACAGCAGCGAGCCCAATGTGGGGCTTGAACTCACGAACCGTGAGATCATGACCTGAGCCGAGACGGACGCTCAACCACTGAGCTACCCAGATGCCCGTCCATAAAACTTTTAAACAAATAAGGAAGTGAATAAGGCATGAATTCCAGTCCAGCCCATGGTGGAGACACCAGACTCTGGAGTGATCATCCTGAGGTCCCGCAGTTCGTGCTGAATGCTGTCTGTGAAAACACTCTGCCCCCAAACCCAGCAAGAGTCCCAAGGCAAACGTGGCTCTCCTGGCCCAGAGCTTGAGAAAAGCAAGTATGTATTCACGTAGGTCTGTGAGGGCCTGTAGGAACCAGATGGGCCACAGGCTGTGGTTTCCGGCGCCGTCCTCTCTGTGTAGCCGCTGGTACCCACTGGAAAAGCTGGAAGCGGTCTTGTACTGAGGAGCCATCTTCCTGGGGTACGAGCCCTCTTCCCAGCCCGGCCCACGTGCTGCCTTGTGTCCACCTGGGCACCTACAGGCTCCTCATGCACATTATTTCTTTCCACCCGGTGCATGAAGCCAGCCTTTGCATTCAGGATGTTTAAGGCAGCCGCAGAAGGGAAGGCTTATTGGGTTAACACCCCAGACCTTAACGCAAGTGAAAACACCCGTGTGCCTGGCTCATCCGCAAGCTGCAGCCTTTTACTGGGCCGTGAGAATGTCTTAGTAAGTGTACAAGGGGCACTCGGGTTGGCTTACGGAGCGCTGTCAGCGGAGTCCAGGCTTTGGGAGCCTGGGCGGTCTCTCCCGCTCCCTCTTTACTTCGTTCTTGGGGCTGCAGTTCTGCCCCACCGGCACACAGGGCCCAGCCTGGGAGTCGACTTGCAGCAGGCATCCTAGGACGCTCCGGGGAAGCCTGTGGGTTTCCATGGCAACTGCCGAGGATGTGCGGTGAGGACAGAGCCTTGAAGAAGTAACTGCTTCCCCAAATGCCCAGCTCCAGCCTCAGGGCAGCCCCCATCCGGGACACCTTGGAAGGGTGAGCTCCTTGAGCACAAAAGTCACTTCTGGTCCCTGACCCCCAGGGCTGAGGGCTGTGGGGCACGGCGCGCAGGCCAGCAGCCTGACGCTCCAAAGGGAATCCCGGCCCTGCTATCTGCTGGTCGTGTGCCTCTGGCCGAGCACCTGGCTGGCCGCCTCCCCACTGAAGGTGCGGTGTCACACATCCGAGGCCCGGGACCGGGGTCAGGGGAGGGGAACACACGACCGGGCGGGCATCGGTGCCGGCACGGGGCAGCTCAGTAAACACTGGCCGTTGTGGGCACTTAGCAAAAGCATAGTGGGTTGCCCTGGAACAAGGCTCTCCGTTTACTTTCTTTCCAAGTGTGACAGACATGCGCACAGAAGTGCTCAGGTCACGTGTGTTCAGCTCCACGGATATCCACAAATGTAATGCACCTGTGTAACCAGTACCCATGCGTGGCTGGCTCCCAAAGCCACGCGGGCTCCTTCGAGCCCTTAGGCCCCTAGTGACCGCCACCGTGACAGCGCGGGCGTGCTTCCCTGAGCCTACGTGCAGGGGGTCAGGCCATCGTTCTCCGTCTCTTTCTCTTGCCACCCTGTCCCTGCAGCCCAGTTCCACTCACACTCAGTGCCCCAGAATCTTCCAGCAGGGCACACGCTGCCATCAAAGGTCCAATCTGCTGCCAGCGGGCCCGGGGGTTTCCGGTTTCACTGCGAAAGCGTTCTGGGGCACAACTGCTGGTGAGCAGACGCATCGTCGCTGGGTCCTCAGAGCCATCTTTTAGGGGCACGGGGCCATACACCCCCCCTTCCCTGCTCGTCACATCCCCTCTCCTCACCCTCAGCTGTGGCCTTGGTCACTTGGTCGTCCTTTCCCTCTTCCCTCGGGAACTGTCAGGGGACAAGGTCCAGGTGGCCGGCAGGCGGCCCGGACCGACTCGCTGTGCTGGCCGCTCTCACGGCCCCTGTAAGCTGAGCCCGACAGACGACAATGGCACGCTCCCCTCGAGCCAGGCCGGCCGTGCAAGGGCTCTCAGGCTGGTGGGGGGCAGGGTGACACCATCAGGGGCCCCCACCAACTAGCAGGGGAGGGGGAACCAGGAGCCACCCCCAGGCCATCTGCCACTTTGCTGTCCAGCTCTGTCCTCAGCAGGCCACCCCCAACCACCCCCTCACCTGCCGGGAGGCTGTCCCTCCGGGCCCCTCTCGGCCTGGATGTCTCTTCTTCCCTGGAAAGGCCGAGAGGGGCCCCAGGCAGAGGGAAGAGGTGGCAGGGCCCTGTGGCTGAGGATGGCTCCGGCGGCGGTCCTGAGGCCGCCCGTACCCCACCCAGGCTGTCACCCTCACCGCCAGGGCCCCGCAGGCAGGGATCCGGGACGGGGCATGACTGGGTTCTTCTGTGCGCTGGTCCCGCGTGAGCAGCTCCTTGCACATTCAGTGCTCGTCTCTCTGAGGTGGGGTCTAGACGTCTTGGACGCTGGGAGAGCCCACAGCCAGGAGGCCCCGGGCCGGGTTCCAGCGGTGAGGCCCAGGAACATGTCCCCCCACACTGTCCCCACTCTTCAAGCTTTGGGGAGCAGCAGCGGAGTTGACCGCCATCAGGAGAGAAGCCCCTCGGGCCTCCTCTGGTGCCCTCTCCTATTTCCAGAATCTCGAAGCGTTTCCCTCTGAACTTCTGAGGGGCAGCTCCCCTCGGGGAGCCAACTCTGCTCAGCCCTCTGCCCAGCGGGAAGCCGGGAAAGGTGGCTGTGGCTTGCTGGGGTCGGGGCCCTAATGTTTTTCTTGGACTTCTCACTCCCTAGCTCCCTCACACCAGAGTGCTTAACTGGGAAAGGGTGGAGAGGGAGGGGAGAGGGCAGGGGGAGGGGAGGGGAGAGGGGGAACAAGATGCATGAACCTCAGGCCCTCACCTACCGGTGCTCCTCGTGTCTCTAAGGAAAACAGCCCTGTAGGGCCCTGGGCAGGAGGAAATGGATTTCAACAGGATTCACAGAGAGCAGGTCAGACCTCAGAATTCTTGGCTCCGGAAGAACAACAAGATCCCCTTCCAGTCTTTTCCCTCCCGGCTCCTCCGGCCACCGAACACCCCCAACACCCCGGGCCTCCAGCCCCTTTCCCTGCTGGGAAGGCCTAGTAGGTGGCACCTTCAAAGCCAGCCCTGATCTCTGCGCCCAGCCCGCCTGTACTCTCGGCTGCCTCCGGGCGGCGCTACCTGCAGCTGGGCCAGGGCTTCCCCAGAAGCGAGCACCCGCCTCCCTTGTGCCAGCCTCAGGAGACGGGTGAGGTCCTGCCCCGCTGGCACGCTCCCACGCTTCAGGCCACTGACTTGACTTGCTCTGTAGATCACCCATCACTGACGTGTCTTTGAATCAACTCACCTGTTACGTTTTGCTCCTAGCAAGCAGTGATACCTAGCATACCCACGGTCACGTGGCCCATACTTCCTCAGGGGGACATCAGAGTCACAGTGATATGCTGTGGCAATGTGCCCTCCTCTTGCAGGACGCTGGCCGTGTGACGCTGCCAGCCTGTGATGGGACCCGGGAGGCGTCCCACGTCCACATATTCACACCTGTCCTCATGAGGGCCCGCTTCACTCTTCTCCATACACACAGCAGGTGCTTAGGTAAGCGGCTCATGTTTGCAGTGGGTGGTCCTCGGCACAGCCAGCTTCCCATTGGGTGGGCCCAGGCGGTGGGCTCCTGGCCCCTGCCAAGGCCCCCACGGGCACGGTCTTCCAGGCTCCTCACCAGCACTGACGAGATGGGCAGCACAGCTATAATCTCTGTTGGACAAACGGAGAAACTGAGAGAGGGAGTCCGAACTGCTCAGGGTTTCCCAGCTCCTCAGCAGTCTCTCCGTCCACCCCCCCCCCATCCCCACCCCAGGAGTCTAAGGCTTGGCGATAGATAGGCTCCGTGAAGAGCTGTCTAGGGTGGACGTGCTGGATGGGTGTGCCCCAGCTTGGAACACAGACCACGCCGATGACCTCCAGAGTCAAGTTTAGGTACTGCCACAACCGTTCCTCTTCTCAAACCTTCTGCAAAGTACCCTCCGCTCTGGGCAGGACACCAAGGAATGGGTGGTAGGACTGGCATTCCTGGGCCTGTGTGCCCCATATATTTTTAGCCTCTGCCCTGCCTGGGCATTTGCCCCGTGGCTAATGTCCTCAGGGAACCACCTAGCTGCACACCAAGAAGCCTAGCAGGCTCTTGGAGGTCTCCAGGAATGACACCACACCCTGGTCCTGAGGCTTCGGGTCTAACTCTCTTTTCCAAGGCAGAACCAACTGCTGTTAGTGAAGAGTCCTCCCCCACCTCCTCCAACACAGAGGCCTGTGGCCCAGAAACCAGGATCTGGGAGGCACAGAATCTGTAACATTGGGCAAGTCATGTTCTAGAGCTGGAAAGTGGAGGGGAGGGCTGCGGCTGCATGGCTGCACGGGGGGACAACCAGGCCAGATGGTTGCAGAGATGATCAGGGGACAGGGGACGACAGCTACTCCAGACAGGTGTGCTCCCAGGGAAAGGCTGTGCCACAGCGAGGGAGAGCCCTACCTCTGTCCCAGGAGCAGGAGGCCCGGATCCCCAGAGAGCTCTCTCAGTGGGGCTACACTAATCCCATGGCCGTCCTGTCCTTGCTCTCACCACTGCAATTTTCCACGAGTCAAGAACCAGGTCTAAAACGTACAGGTAGCTCTTGGCAGATACGTTTGGAAGACTTTTCCATCTCTTCCGCTCCCTTTTCTCAAATTCTGGTACTGGCCATGGCTGAGTGCCAGTGGGACCAGAGTGTTCTGTGACGGGCAGGCACCTGTCCTGCCAGCAGCTCCTCTATCCTGTGCTGGATCTCAGTCCTCCTCTGTAAGACCAGGGGAGTCAGAACGCCTGGTCTGTGGGGCGGCTCAAGTTGTTCTCTGCAGTGGCTTTCATTCGTTTGTTTGGCACTCTGGTAAGAAACGCATCCCACATTTGACCCAGTACCCACGTAAATATTCACACATGTAAATGGCCTCAACACAAAACAATATTCTATGTGGGATGCCCTGATAGTTTCCGTTTTATTCTGTTTCATTTTTATAAAATGCTGGTCCCCATGCACCAAGTTTCTTCCAGGGCCCAGCACTAATCCCTGATCTGATGGGCCGGGCCAGAGGGAGAGACGGACAAAAAGCCAGCGCACACGTGCGCGCTCTGAGTGGCTGACCGCGCAGGGACAGTCGGAGCCCCCCTCTCCGCCTCTCACCGAGGACGCCCAGGAGGCCTCCGGGCTGGAGCCGGGCGGGCCAGGCCAAGCCAGGCGGGGCTTTGAGGCGCTGGTAGCGGGCTGGGATTTATTTTAAGGGACACGAAGCTACCGCAGGTTTGGGGGAGGGGAGGGATTAAAAGAGAAGATGCGCTCAGCACTTTATATTTAGCGGCTGACGCGCCGGAAGCGCTCGTTACCCGCAGCTGCCACTGCGCCCAGAGGGCAGCCCCCGCCTCCGCGTCTGGGGCAGGGACCCCGAACCCCGCCTTCAACTCCCTGAGCAGGGACTCCTGAGCCCCCGCCTCCACGTCGCAGGCAGGGACCCCGAACCCCGCCTTCAACTCCCTGGGCAGGGACTCCCGAGCTCCCGCCTCCACGTCGCAGGCAGGGACCCCGAACCCCCCCCCCTTCACCCCGCGGGACAGACACCCTGAACTCCGCCTTCACCTTCCGAGACAGGGACTCCTGTCTCCCCGCCTCCACTCGTAGGCAGGGACCCAAACCTCGCCTTCGCCTCCCGGGCAGGGACCCTGAACCCCGCCTTCACCTCGCTGGACAGGGAAACCTGGCCCCTGCCTCCACATCACGGTTAGGGACCTCGGCCCCGCACCCCGCCTCCACGTCGCGGGCAGAAACCCGCGGCCCTCGCCTCCGCCCGCCCCCCTCCCCCCCCCCGGGCAGGGACTCCGGCCCGCCGGTGCTTTAGAACGGGAGGGACGGGGCGCACCCCGGCCGGGCGGCCTTCCAGCCCAGGACACGGGAAGCTCTTCTGGTCTCTTCGGCAGAGACGCTATGGAGTTCTGGGGACCGCTCTCAGGAACTGGCGCCCAGGGCTTCGTCGCCGCGCTCCGCCCCCGGCCCCGCCCCTCCAGCATGGCCTCCGCCCCCTGCCTGCGCACGCGCGCTCCGCCCCTCCCGATTCCCACCCCTCCCCCCGAGCCTGCCAGCCAGGTCTCGTGCTCCCACCCCGCGCGGGGCCCGCCGGGAGTTGGCCGAGGAGGGGGCGGAGAGCCGGGGGAAGCCCGCCCGGGCTCACGGCGCGTGCTGCGCAGGCGCGGAGAGCGGGCCCGCCCCCAGGCAAGCGGCGCGGCCATATTTAAAGGGCGGCAGGCGCGGCTATCCAATGGGCGGCGAGCGTGCGGGGGCGGGGCGTGGCAGCGCGAGGCCCCGGATGTGGCTGCTGCGGCCCCTCCTCCCCCGCGATCCCCTCAGAGCCCCCGGCCGCGCGCCGCCGCTTGCTTGCTGGTCCCCGCGCAGGCCCGTCGGGCGACGGTGAGGAGGCGCCGAGGCGGAGGAGCGGGCGGCGGCGGCGAGGCGACCGCGCGGAGGCGAGCGGGCCAGGCCCAGCCGGGCGGCCGCCGCCATGAGCGGCTCCTCGGGCACCCCGTACCTGGGCAGCAAGATCAGCCTCATCTCCAAGGCGCAGATCCGCTACGAGGGCATCCTCTACACCATCGACACGGACAACTCCACCGTGGCGCTCGCCAAAGGTAGCGGCCCCGCGGCCGCCCCAACCGCCCCGGCCCCCGGGCGCCAACAGCCGGTGGGCGCCGTCGCCCCCCCCCCCCGCGCCCCCCCCCCCCCCGGCCGCTTCCCCCCCCGCGAAGCCCCCCCCTCCCCCGCCGGGCTCGGCCGGCACAATGGTCTCCCCCGGCCCCGGCGGCTGGTTATTGTGCGCGGCCGGCCCGCCCAGCCCGAGGGTGGGGAGGGGAGGTGGGGGCGGGTCCAGCTCCCACTGCGCCGCCCCCTCCTCCGCGCAGCCCACCTCTGCAGGTGGCGGGCCGGTGCTGCTGGGCCGGGCGGAGGGGGTGGCGGGCGCCGAGATCCCGGTCCCTGCGGAGGAGGGGCGGGGCGAGGGGCCTGAGGCTCCCCGGGGCCTCCCCAGAACGCTACTCCTGTGAGCCCTTCTGGAACCTATTAAGCAGCTGGGGCCTTGAGCCTGAACAAACACCACGTCTTAATGGAGCCTCCTGCCGGGAGAGGAGCATCGGTCGGCTGCTAGGTGCCCCCACTTAAAGCGCTCTCCTGCCCTAATGCAGACGTTCAGTCTGTGGCTTTCCCCTTTTGTGGCCGACCCTTCCCTGGAGGCGCCGTGAGCACCCTGAAGCCCCCGCCAGACGTAGAGGCAGGAGGCTGGAAATGTGGCTCTAGGGGAGTCCAGAATCTTTTCCAGGCTTGTAGAGGCAGGAGGAGGTGGCTCAAAGTTTCTTTGTCTTCATCCTCCGGGGGGAAGATGGCGAGTGTCCTTCCCTTGCCTCTTGGAGAGAAGTGCCGGGTGCAGCCAGGGCTGCAGAAACCCTGGGTGTCTGATGGGTGTCGTTGGGCCTGTGAGGGTCAGGGCACGGCGTCCCTGTTTCCCACGTCAGAGGGAGCCTTGGGCCTTCAGGACGCAGTCATTCCAAACTCCGGGCATACCTCCTAAAGTCTGGCGCCCGAGTTCTAGGAGAGACAATTGCGTGGCTCCAGGAGAGAATCCAGAGTTGCAAGGTTATGTGTTGACGTATACCCTTGGCACTTGAGTGTATCTGGCATGCCATCCCCGTTGGAGAAACTGAGGCCCAGAGCCTCTGGTCCTTAGCAGGAGTTGTGCTCAGATTAGATAGAGGCTGCTTCGAGCCCAGCTCTGCCCCCAGAGCCTGAACCCTGCTGGGAAGGGTGCATACCCCAAGAAGGCCTTTGGGCAGACCCAGGCTGGTGGTGGTGTGGGTCCAGGCTCTGAGCCCATTCTCCCGTTGTTTCTGTGAGAGCCCCTCCCGGGGAGGGTGCGGGTAACAAGCCCACAGGCTTCTCGCCTTAACAAAACAAACTCCCAGGGGTGACGTGCGGCGAGGTTTCAGGCAAAGAGCAGCTGGCGGGCTGTTTAATCTCGGAAGTCGGGTGTAGAGGGGTGTTCTGCAAAGTGGACTGTTTGCTCAGGGCGCTGGCCCTCCTGTGCTCACACTTGAGAACCGTCAACTTCGGGGGACTGTGGGCCTCAGAACTTGTTAACTTGTCTTTGGGCCCCGAACCTTCTGGAGCGTTGCCAGCCGGGGTCTTGTAGGCATTGTGCTCTGGAAACTGGGGGGCGGAGTAGCCGTTGGGAGGTGGACCGAAGGTGGTGTGCAGGGCAGGGCCGGGCACAGAGTGCCCGAGGGCTGCAGTGCAGGAGGATGGATTGAACGCCCTTGGCCGAGGACGACAACCTAACCCTTCTCTCTCTCAACTCCCAAGTGAGGTCTTTCGGTACCGAAGACCGTCCCACAGATAGGCCGGCCCCCCCGCGAGAGGAGATCTATGAGTACATCATTTTCCGGGGAAGTGATATCAAAGATATCACCGTGTGTGAGCCTCCGAAAGCCCAGCACACGCTCCCGCAGGACCCTGCTATCGTCCAAGTAAGTGTGCTGCCCTCCTCCCGACGTGGGCACGCTTTCCGAGAGGTGCCGCTTTCCAAGTGGAACTTGGTGTCCTCTGTCTGGCGGGAGCGCTCGACTCGAGGAATAGCCTTTCAATGAAAAGTGGTTTAATTTCTGCGCAGGCCGTTGCTGCAGAAAGTCTTAACCTCAGCTTGCGGTGTCGTGTGTTGTAGAGTGAGACTTTGCGTGTGTGCGAGTGTGTGTGTGTGTGTGTGAGAGAGAGAGAGAGAGAGAGAGGGAAGGGGGTGGTGCTTCTAGTCTTCCGGGGAGGCTTGGGGAATCACGTTTGTCCTTACTGTTGGGTCGAGACAGCAGGACTTGCTCTCCTGATGTCGTCTGGATTTAAAAATTTTTTTTTTTTCCAACATTTATTTATTTTTGGGACAGAGAGAGACAGAGCATGAACGGGGGAGGGGCAGAGAGAGAGGGAGACACAGAATTGGAAACAGGCTCCAGGCTCTGAGCCATCAGCCCAGAGCCCGACGCGGGGCTCGAACTCACGGACCGCGAGATCGTGACCTGGCTGAAGTCGGACGCTTAACCGACTGTGCCACCCAGGCGCCCCGTGGATTTTAAACCCTAGTGTCGTGGGACATGGACCTTGCGGTTCTTATGCCGTATACGCGCCTCCTGCGTTAGGGCAGAATTTGCCCAGGATTACCGGGGAGCCTAGCTTAATAGTTTCTTGACTTGCACATCTGAATATTCATTGGTCGCTCCGAGGCTGCTTCTGCAGGAGGCTCTGGGACTGAGGGCGCTCCCTGGAAGGTAGCATGCTTGGGGGGGCTCTGGGGACATGTGGAGAAGCCCCGGGCTAGGCCTATGAAAGGTCTGGAGGGAGACTTCTCAGAGACTTCAGAAGAGGCAAGTACCTGAGTCAGGCCTCGGGGCACAAAGAGGTCTTCGGGGAGCAACAGGCAGCAGCGTCCCTGAGGGTATGGGGACCGGAGAGGTGTCGCACGTGTGGGAACTGTGTGGCTGGGCTGCTGCGTGTTGGGGGCAGGGCCAAATCTCGGATGGCAAGTCTGCCCTCTTACTGAGGCTAAACTAGGGAACGACAGCCGGCGGGGAGCCGTCTGAGGGGTTAACTGAGTTAGGGGACCGGTTAGAGTGACCCGGACGGGCGGACCTGGCTACGGGATGTGGGAAAGGCAGCTCTGAGCTCGCTTAGGTGGTTCCGGAGGCTCTGCCCCGCGACCCCGGGCCTCCAGGAACACAGGCAGACAAGTCTGACTGCTCTGCGCTGCTCTCATCTGTGTGTCTCGTTGGTCAGTCTTCCCTGGGCTCGGGCTCGGCCTCCTCCTTCCAGCCACACGTGCCTTACAGCCCCTTCAGAGGGATGCCGCCCTACAGCCAGCTGGCTGCCAGCTCTCTGCTTAGCCAGCAGTACGCCGCTTCCTTGGGTCTAGGTGAGTAACCTGTTTCTGTCTGCTAAACTCGCGCTGTGATCTCCAGGAGGCGGGGCCGCAGACCCCGATCGTGGGGACACCCTGCTCCTGGCCTGCTCTGCTCAGCACGCTCAGCACGGCACTCAGTGCAACTTGAACCAGTTAGAACGCCGGCTAACTCTTCAGTTGAGAGTAAAAGAGTTCGTCCGACTTTGGGGACAGATGAGTCCAATCAGAATTCATTTGAAACGTCAGCCTGGGTCCGGGTGGAAGTCACGGCACGTTTGCTTCAATAAGAAACAACTGGTTTTGTGATTACGGATGGGCTCTAACTATTGACACCTTGGAAGCCCGTAAACGCAAAAAGCTGAATCGATACCCATCCGTTAGGCATTTTGCTGTCCCTGGTTTGCTCAAAAGTTCCGTCCCCCGAGGTGGGTCGATCCTGGAATGAGGTTCTCTTCTGCACGTGTAGCGTGACAGTCTGCCTGGCCCCGGACGCAGCTTTGCGAGGCGTTCAAACCCTGGAGTCGGCAGGCTCCTACCCCGGCCTGGGGCTGTGGGCAGGCCCTGCAGACCTGCTCTTGGGCCGCTCCTGAGTCACGCTGTCCGGACTGCTGCTCTGCCTGGCTCACGGTGTTTCTAGAATAGGTTTGTGTGAGCCACGTGTCCCGTGAGAGGTTGCTTGGCTCTTCCGAGCTTGCTGGACACGGGACCGGTGTCTCGTTACTTACTTGCGTACTTTCTCTTTTGCTCTCCTCTGTCTTCCTTTAGAGAAGCTGGTGAGCCCTCCAGCCTCGGCCGCAGCTTCCAGCCCTAGCTCTTCTCCGTCTCCACAGCCCGCCTCAGAGCTTGACGTGTCCTCAGAGCCACATCAGCTCACCTCCAAGGGTAACCGCAGTCGGGGAGAGCTGCATGCTGTCTTGCCGTCCTGAGAGCAAGGGGGTAAACCAGTAGCCCAGAGCGACAGTGGCTGTAGTAGATGCTTTGCCAAGCCCGAGGGTCAATTCAGCTGCTTCCATGTGGTTCAATACGTAGTCGTGACTTACTAACGAGCTCGCACGGTTTTAAAGAAGGCGTTAGAAAGAACTGACCCGGAACTTGTTCACTCCCCCCTGGGTCCAGGGTCTGCTTGGACCTGGATCGAGACTACCAAATGTGGGAAGCTTTGCACAGAAAGCCTTTCCCTGGGGCTTCAGCTGGCCCAGAATGTGTTCTAGATTGCTGGGTGACACTGCAGGGGAGCGTCCCTAAGAAACTCACATGCTGTTCTGGGAGCTGCGTGGCATATTCGTCACCCTTCCGAGAGGCCTCGGGTGTCTTTCTAACGTGAAGCCCCGTTAGAATTGGGAGATTCGCTCGAGCAGGTGAACGGCGTGGGCCAAGTGACCAGCTTGTTAATGCCGGGGTGCGCTGCCTGTCTCAGCTGGGCCGTGGCACCTGTTGGGGCTTCTTGGTCTTTCTTGATGTTCTTCTCGTTTCTCTGAGAGCTGAGGTTCACGTGCCTGACTGGGTAGAGCGCCATGCCCTGCCCTCCCCGCTGCGGAGGCTCGGTCCAGGGTCGCACCCAGAGCATCCGTGCCAGTCTGTTATTTTGCACGTGTTGCTTTCCGTTCCCACACGGATGCCAGTGTGTCCCTGACGTAGAAGCAGTGGTGTTTTTGCCCAGTTAAAGTTTACGTTAGACGGTTCGTTCTTTGAATTGTTGGTGTAAAGCTGCTCTCAGGGGAGGGTAGTTTGTTGATGGTTTTGTTTTATCAAGAACGGGTGAGCCTGAGTCTCACCCCCATCGAGTTAGAGTGTGGCAGGAGCAGCCGGGCTGCGTTCCCGGGAGGGCCCTGCTGGGCAAGGTGGCAGGCCGGGGAGGGGGCTCCAGCGTGGTCCCGTCACAGGACACCTGCGCGCGCCAGTATGCGAGGCCGTCCAGCTTGCCTTGGGAGCTCTTCTCTTGATCTGGTCATGAGGAAGGTTTCACAGTAACTGCCTTAGTTTCTGTCTCACGTGAAAAACCAGAAAGCTGAAACAGCCAATTTTCACGCGTAATGGGCCGTCTCTCCTGATGGTGACCTCTGTGCTCAGGGCCCAGGTTTTGTGCCTCAGAGCTCCGTATGCCTCTGCCCAGCCCCACACTG